GGGCTCGTCCGGCTGTCCCACGACAGGAAATTATATTGCTGGGCCATAAAAGTGACAGGCGAGCCGAACCATTCATCGAATATCCAAAGATCTGTTAAGGCTGGCTGGCAGCAACATGTGCAACTTGCCCCGTTTGATGTCTGTGCCTCATTTTCCAAATGACTTTTACGCAGAAGTCGTTAAAAATCAACGAAAATTTCCAATTAATTTTGATAAACACGCCCCTCGCATCGCTTATGCATGTATATGCAACTCCTACCCCGAAAAAAAAAAAAACAAAATTGAGAAAAACAACTTACAAAAAAATTGTTGTTCGAGTTGTTCTATTGATTGCTTGGCAGAGAGCTGAGACCAATTGTTGCTTATTAGGCCGAAATCGTTAAAAATCTATCAACATTCACACACACACACAGGCCCAACCAACAAAAAACTGTCTACAAAATGAAGCCATTCAATAGGCTGGCACATTTTATGAGCTTTTTTCGGGCTGATTTTTGGCCACCTTTCTTTGATTTTATGATTTTCAGTTACAAGAGTTTCCAAGAGTCCGCCTCATGTCCGGAGGTTTATCAACAAGCGATTAGGCCACATAGAGCCTCCAAATTGCGGCCGGGATACTTTTATGGCGAGATTAACGATGCCAAAAACACGATGCCAGCAGATAAACTTTTGGTATTGAAAACAAGCGATTGCAGCGTAAGGGAATTCCTATTTTATGGCTTCAAACTCCAAAGCTAATTTGGTACTAAAGCTAAGGCTTAGAGGGTTTTACAACTAATTCAATGGGAAACTAATCTAAGAGGCTAATTAAAATCAAAAGAATCAAGCATCTCCTTCAATCATACCTAATTACTTTGGTGCTCAGATCTGTCTTAATATGCATCTATAAAATGAATTAGAAATCATATAATGGAGCTGTACAGATTTACGTGACGATTAAAACGTGTATATATCTGTGTAAGCTCAAGTCTAATTTTGAATTTGTAAAAATACATTTAAAGATTTCTGGTCATTCTAACCCCAGAATTATAAGCCTATAAAGCTTCCCAGTTAATTACGAATCGCCTTTCTATGCGATTTTCATTATCTCTAGCAGTATGCATTGCATGTTAGTTGATTTTTGAAAATCTCTTAGTCTTCGATTTGGTAAATCTTTCAACTGCTTTTTTCTCTCGCACCCTCCTCCCTATTTTCTCTTGTACCGAACCGTTCGCTCTCTCACGCTCTCTGTTTGCTGTTTCCCCTGCATAAGCCACGCCTTTCTATGCGATTTTCATGAATTTAAGTAAGCAGCTCAAACTTTAAGGTTCATATTCTGGGATATTAAAAAAGTTTTGTGCCTTCTTTATTTCTATAAGTTAACATTAGATATTTATGTGCATTGTACTGTGCATATATTTGCTTAACCTATACCATGATGGAAGGGATGCAGTTAATTTTTATTGGTTTTCCCAACGAATATCTCTTTCGAAAACTAATTATAAAATGCCATTTAGCCTAATGCAGTTCCATCAACAAGTAAGGCCCACAGAAGCTCATCACTGCAACGCATGTGTGACAGCCAAACCAACCAGCTTCCCGTGCCTGGTTGCAGCTACGGCCCATGTCAATTAGAGTGACAGTTGCCAGGGCCAGCACTCAGTCAGCGTCGGTAGTGTAGGGATTGTAGGGAGTGCTAAAACTGTAACGCAATGACCTATCCAGCTGCAGGTCTACTCATACATACACAACACGCCCACTTTTTGCGCCTGTTTTGGGTAATTACATTTGTGAGGCAGCAGGGGATGGGGAAAAATATGAAATGACGGCTGGCGACATATGACAGACGAGCATCGACAGAGGACTGAGGACAGACTGTTCCATCAGCTTTTGTCAAACGTATTGCGAAAATTGTGCGAAATTTAACAGAACGTACAAAACATAAATCAATAAGAGGCTGGCAGACAGAAAACAGAAAACGGGCCGGGAATGAGCAGGACAGGCATTGAACCGACATCAATCAAAAGCCTGTAGTTGGTTAAATGAGCGTAGGGAACAATCAAAAATTGCCAGCATCCCCTGTGGCTAGAGCTGCACAAAGGAGGGAGTGAGAGATTTCAAGTAGGGGGCCAAAATTATACAAAAGAACGCCATGAAATTAAGACGACTAGCGACGGATCATTGATGCTGCTGATGATCAGAATGATAATGATAATCATGATGCTGATGCTGATGATGATGACGCAAAAGAAGCCAGAACAAAGGAAACGAAACCAAAACCATAACCAAGACCAAGACCAAAGCCAAAAGAAAACCGAAAGAAACAGCAGTCAAAAGAAACCCTTCTACTGCCCTCTGGCTGTTAGAGGGGGGTGGGGCGGGGCTTACTCCTTTTGCGGGTCCCGCTGCGATCGCGTGTTCTTCTTCAATTACAGCGCCATTATACGAATGCGGAACGTTTACGGTGTCGGCGATGGTGCTGGAGCCGGTGCCGATGACGATGCCGATGCCGATGACGATGCCGGTGCCGATGCCCGGGCCCCAGGCTGTGGGATGGAGGCCTCTGGACGCACAAAGCCGCCGTCGCCGACGATTTCTGTTACCGGCAGCCTCTCCACTTGCCAAAGACAACACTTTTTTTTTTCATTTTCTCTTTTTTCTCAGTATTTTTTTTTTGTTTGTGGGCTTGCAGCGTAATTCAGGATTCTGGTTGCTCTGTTATTATCGTCGGGCTTGGGCCTTGGAGCTGGGGCAAGTTTTTGGCGGCTGCTGCTGGGTAATTGCCCCGATGTCGAGCACAGCGGGCGGCGGCATTAACAACAACAGCAACAACAACAACAATAAGAACAACAACTGAGCTCTTCTACTCAGAAGCCAAAAAACTGAAGGTCTGATCAGTGATCCTTCAAATTAAAAAACAATTAAATTTTAAAAAAATTCTTTGAAGTCCGAGTAAAATACATGTATTTATATTATGTATGTATTTATATTAAGTTAGACCATGAGACATTTTAACTGATATTTTGTATAGCCCCTGACTATATGTGTGTCTATATGAGATGTAATACAAACTATCAGCTAGGATATCTCATGTCAAACTTCAACTTGATTCATATATATTATATATATATATTTTGTCGTGACTGACTGAATGATTGTATTATAAAACAAGCTTGCAGGTGGCTTTGAAAAATTCATTGCCGATGGTTTTCACACTTCTCCTTTGAATCCCCGACCTGGGTGAAAATGGAGTTCAAGGCCGTATGGATATTTAAGTCACCGCCAATTAAACTTATGTATTATTATATTAAGATAATACATGTTTGGGAAAGGCAACAGTGCTGTACACTAAACAAAAACTTCCATTTAAATAGTGCTTTACTATGCGAATCTCATTCATTAAAGTAGCAAGTATTATATTAATCACCTTATCTATGCTGATACTTTTTTATCCTTCTCTATAATTAATTATTATCTTGCATTCTACCTCGCTCCTTATATTCCTTTCTCTTCCTCCTTTTCTTAGACAATATGTAATATATTTATATATTTAACAACAAATAATACTTTGTAAAACTTGTATAGGACTTGTATTTGGGTTTGATAAGTTCCTTATAAAAAAAAGAAAATGAACGGTGCAGAAATTAAGATTACTTGCATTTTAAATACCTTAATAAAACCTATTTGTGGCTACAGGGTATAAAACGCACTGCCACAGCCCAAAAGAGCATGTGAAACTCTTAATTGGCAGCTCTTAAATAAATAAATGTCAATGCCGAACATTGGACTGTTGTGTTTATGAATGTTAACAGGAACATTGCTAGTATGTTACGGTTAACAGACGCCGAGCCAGTCTTTCCGTATTGTATTAGCGCTTGTTTGGGCCAACAACAGCTGCGATTTCTGTAACAGTATTACAGAGCACCACGTTCCGTTTCCATGCGTTGCGCACTGTGCCAGCGACAACAGCAGAAGAGAGTCAATGGTATTTACTCGCTCTCTCTCTCACTCACAAACCACTTTTTGTTTTGGTAAGCGTCGAAGGCGCCGTTTAGTGTTTCGCGTTTTCAGTTCGTTTCTGTACGCCAGTCGAGTTGGTCGTGTTTGTCCGCTAGGTAGCGCGTTGTGCTTGTCGTCTTCTTCTAGAAAATACGCGCGGCAAATGTGCGTCCTTTACAAAACATAAATAAAAACAACAACTGACTGAAAAATTGTGTTCGTAGTGAATGAAGTTCGGCATGTTCAGTGTTTGCGAGATATATTAGGCTAAAATTTTTGCTATTTGTAGGGTGTGCAGCGAAAAAGCAAGTGCCGTTAAATACAAAACCGCCCCGCAACAACAACAACAACCGTTACACCCCAAAAATACGCTGTCAACATCGCAGTCGCTGTCGTTGTCGCGGTCGCCGTCGCAGTCAGCGTCGCTGTTCGCGTTTGGAAATACAAATCGTGTTTTGCGCTTTAGCATTTTGCAGTTGTTGTTGTTGTTTTGTTTTTGTTGTTGTTGCTGCTGCTCACTCGCCAAGTTATTTACGTCGCGTCGGGCAAACAACAACAGCAACAAAACAAAAATTTACAATTAAAATTACGCGCGCTACGTCAAAAAGTATCTGCGAGATACACACACCCAAACACACACCAAAAACAACAAAGAGCGAGGAGGAGAGAAAGAGAAGGAACAAGTCGCACAATATGCGCAAAATTCAACTAAAATGCAGCATATCCCGGCTGTAAAAAGTTTTACGATCCAACCTTAACGCAATTCCCCGACCCGCACAGCCCCGAAATAATGCCAGATACAAATTAAGGTCGCTACGTTGCGCCGTGGCACCTGAGAGCAAGTGTATTAGTCTCAGCAGCAGCAGCAGCAGCGGGAAAAACAACAACAAACAAGGATAACCCACCCACAAAGGCCGTAAAACATTTTGGCCAAAGCAACATTTACAGTTACAGTCGCTACAGGCTCGTAAATTGCCAGCAAAACAAAAAACAAAACAAAAAAAACAACAACAACAACAATTGTAGTTGCAACCATAAGAGGCAGCAACAGCAGCAGCAGAAGCAGAGATGGCGGGCAATATTGTCAAATGGTGGAAACACAAGATACTCGGCGGCTATAAACAATTCTCAGGTAAGCTAAACTTAACTTAATATTTGGGCTATCCGAGCAGACAATAAAAACAAACTTTAAGATACTTGTCATTTTGTTGTAAACATGCACATGAAAGTTAAAAAACTTAATATCATCAACTTTTAACTTCGCACAATTCGAATAAAAGCACACACAAAAATGTGCTAAAATGTTGCTTTGCTTCGTTTGACATTTATTAGAATCTTTTATTTTTATGCCTTAAGCTGTGTTGACACCTAACAAAAAATGAGCCATAAAGTTTATGCAAAAATTATTTACAGCCGTGCTGGCAACAATTAGTAAAAGAAAGAAACTCATTTGTTTTCTGCAGTCATTGCCAAGAAATTTCGAAAAAAAAGACTTAACCCAATGGAAAATAGTTGCCAGCACTTTTTTGTCTATGTTTTCTGACTATAAATATTATCTATCATAAAGAGATGTGTGCTTAAACACAAAATGTCTTTGCCCTTGTTTTAATCGATTTTGTCAAAATTTGCTATTCTCATTTTTTTTGTGTACTCAATTATTTTGTACTTTAAAGTTGATAAAAGCTTAAAATAAAAGACATTTCTAGATGCTTTGCAGAATGAATGAATAATAGGTGGAAACATTTGGTATTAAAAATAAATAAAATGTATGCTTACATCCATAATTTGTGACATATATCAGGCTTAGTCTTGTCTATAAATCCCATACGAAACTAAAAGGTTTCATTTAGGACAAGAAATTCTCAAAAATTCGATCAGATGTAGTCTAATGTTGTCTATTAAATAAATTTGAAGATTCATTCAGTCAAGGGCTTCTCCCACATCCTTTTCCAATAATTACACACACACACACAACAAGAACAACAACAAGAAAAGCAACGAGAATAACAACGGCAAATGGAAAATGTAGGCAATCGACAGAGCGTTGCGTTCTTTATCTGGAAGATACACAGAACGGGGCGGCGTTCGCTTGTGGTCGGTCGGTCGGTGGAGAAAAAAAGGCACACAAAAATAGAACGTAGAAAATCCAAAACAACAACAACAACAGCAAAAGCAACTCACAGAACATCAAAAGAAAACGACGCACGAAAAATAAATAGAAAATGGAAAAACCAAAGAGCATCGGCCAAGTGGCCAGGGTGAGCCGAGCGGCAGCTGGAGGAGAAGATACCAAAAAGGGAGCAGTCTCTGTGTATGTACTCGAAAAGCGATCGAATTCGTGATCAATAGAACAGGGGCAGAGACTCGACTCGATTCTACTCGATTCGACTCGACTTTGCCAACTTTCTGGACACACACACACAGATATAGACAAAAGCGTGTATCATAATCGTATATATGTATCCAAGCTGGGAAAGCGTTCCCAAGTGGCGGCCAATCTTGAGGGGCGACCTTTCTGCACAAACAAAACGTCGCGTTGAGAAACATCAATCAATCAATGTGTATCTTTTTTTTTTTTTGTTTTCCTTCTTCTCTTTATTTTTTGTGTCAGTTCGGTGGAAGCGTTTTGCTCCCATGGCGAGCAGAGCGGGCTGGGCAGGGAAGGGGAGAGGATTGGGAAGTCGGGTTACAATTACTGCATCAATTAAATGCCAGGGCAACACTTTGAACCCCAGCCAAGGATCGAGCGGGAACCCTGGCATACCACAAGCCCCCATACACTAATTGCTTGCAGATGCTGCCAGAGGGAGAGAGAGAGAGATCGAGGGAGAGAGCGAATTCAAAGGAAACCCAAAGGCACGCCGAAGCATGCAACTTCAAAGAAAGCAGCAGCAAAGGCACAAAATATAAAAAACTGAAAAGAAAACAACAAAACAACAACGAAAAAAAAGCCTAAAGAGAAGAGCAACAAAACACATTGAAATGCCGAACGAGCGAGCGAAAATTTCTTACCTGTTGCAGGTAAATGTAGATAGGCTGAGGTAGAGAGTTCGAGGTAGAGGCAGCTGCTGCTATGCCACAAAAACCTTTTAAAGCCCTCACGTTGATAAACAACAACAACAACAACAACAACAACAACAACAACGAGCAGTTGTCGGCGTCGTTGTTGTTATTGTTGAGTCGCCGCCACAAACAAAAATAATAATAACTGAGAGCGGCAAACGGCGTCGGCGCGTTGCAAGGCGGCGGAGTCCTCCATCTACAGCTCGCAGCTCCATCTTCAGCCGCAGCCGCAGCTCCAACCAGTTCCGCGCTTCCAACTATGCCAAACATCTCGGCGGCCATACACAAAAGCGGTTTAGAGCCGACGATCGACAGACAGACAGAGAGACAGATAAACAGACAGACAGACAAACAAGCGTACGTTGTTTTGTATCTTTCAGATACACACAACACGCGCGCCTGCATATATGTGTGTGTGCGTGTATGTGTGTGTGTGTGCCTGGGCATGGCCTGAGTTGAGTCGCGGGACAAGCTGCGCTTTGCGCACTGTTCAAAAGATGCGCTTTTTGCTTTAAGTTCGGCAGCACAGAGGCCATGCACTGTTGCACAGTGACACAAAAATGTAGTTTAAGGCGATTAATACTTTATGTATATAAATTGGAATCATTGTTTCATTTGTTCAATTATTATTGAAAATTTTACGAGTTCGAAGGGTTTAACTTTTAAAGTCAGTATTTGAATAATAACTAAACTGAGTGTGTAAATAGTATAATATTTAAAAATATATATATTATAATATAATTTTTTAAGAATTAATTGATCTTAACCAATCCTAAAAATAGTATTCTGTGATCTGCAATGAATACTTATGCTTTCCATGGAAGCCCTTTTTGTTTGTAGGCATCCAGTTTTTTGGTCCATTATAATGCATTTTTGAGCATGATTTTGCTTTATGATATTTCGTTTATGCCAGATTCCCGATAAAAGTCTAAGATATTCCAGCTTCTGCTTTTTTCAATGTTAAAATTTTATTTAGTTTTGCAAAAAATATATATGTCTTATTTGATCAAATTTAAATCTAGAAATGTGACATGACTTGCATTTAATTTTAACATCTTGAATTATATTTACAGAAAATAGAACCTCGAATATTTTTGTTGAACGATGCAAATTAAGCTACTTTGTACCACTGTGCGTGTGGTGCGAGTTTCGCAACTTTTGCCTCAGCTCTGGCTCTGTTGTTGTCGCTGTTGTTGTTGTTATTATTATCGTTGTTGTGAATTACGGTAGAAGGCAACAGGCGATTCCAATGGCAGTCAGGCAGCCAGGCAGGCACTCATGACAGGCTCAGGCTTCAGTCTTCGCGCAGTGGTGCATTTTTGGGCTGATCCTACCAGAGCGTAGCTCTCTTTAAGCAATTTTCGTAATATTAGCCAGGAAGTTGCCGTTGCCGTTGCCTTTGTCTTTGTCTTTGCTGTTGCCGTTGCCACTGCCTCTGCCTCTGTCTCTGTCTCTGCCTCTGACATGCCAGAGACCTTATAAGGCCTGGCTCGAGCAGCAAGCAGCGACTGCTGGACACCAGCTCCAACTGGTTTTGTTGTTGCGGCTGTGTCTTGGAGGCTGTGGCCAGGTCTTTTGGCCTGGGCCGCCAAAAACAATGCCGCCTGTGGCAAAGATAAAAAGCTGTTAGCTTGTAGCTTCTGCATTTTGCGGCCACAGAGATGGCCGGAGAGCCAGAGGAGAAGGCATGGGGGCCTTCTCAATCAGAAGATATATGTAATGACTTTTTGAGGTTTTTGTTTTGCTCGTCAGAGTTTGTTTGTTTGTTTGTGTTTGTTGATTTAGCAATTGGCTTCTTGGAAATGTGCCGACAGAGTTCAATGAGCAAACACTGTCAGAGACTGCGACGGAGACATTGACTCTGACTTTTGAGTCTTACTCGCACCCCAATATATAGCTTATATGTAAATTGTTAGTTCAAACATAAATGTTAGCTGAAAGCGACGAAAAATGTCGGCAACTATGCCAGTTACTTTCAATGAATATGATGGAAAAATCATGTCAGCCAGTCAACCAGTCAACCAGCTAAATGCTAAACTTGCCGCTAGCCCCACACCTCACCCCCGTTGCCTGCGAATTGTACGGTTCAACGGTGTCGGTGCGTCTGACGTCTGATTGATAAGCGCGCTACGCCTTATCTTAATAATATTTAATGCATGGCATGGCGCGGAGGCCGCTCCAAATGGAGTGTGTGCGTGTGTGTATGTGCGTGGAGTCTTAAGGAGCGCATAGTGAAAATGAAATTGAAAATAATACAAAACGCTTTGTCGGTCATTAGCTTTGAGTGGACGCCGACGCCGTTGTTGCTGCCGCTGCCGCTGCCGCATTTGGGGATCGTCGAATGGGGTCCGTTGATTGTGTCAAAGCGGAAAGCCGCCAAAAACGTTGAACCGCATTTGTGAAGCGGGAGAGAGTGGAAAATCTGTCAGCCCTGGCTTAAAGCTGTGCACAAAACCAAACGGCAGAAATGGTTGCTGTTTGTGCTTGTTTGCTTGTTTGATGCCATACCCTGTAAAAAACGTTGCAGAGAAGTAGTTGTCTTTTAGACCTAGCAAATGTTAAGTTTCATTTTCTTAAACTAAAACCTATAGGATATATTTTCTATCTGACCAATCAATCTATAAACCTATAAAAAATGTCAGATTTTCTATCTGATCAATCAATCTATAAACCTATAAAAAAATGTCAGATAATCTATCTAATCAATCAATCTATAAAATTCAACTAGATTTTTTTATTTATATTGTTTAATAAATTTATTATTATTTTTACAAAATTGGCCACTTCTTTAAGCAAATAACATTTGTTTTTGTGTTTTTATTATATATATTAACGATATCCAAGAAATAGTTGCTCATATTTAACATAAGCCCATTTTGCAGGGTATAAAACGATTCACTCTTCATTTTCCTTTTCAACTCAACAAAATGTGGCATCAAAAGTATTCGCCAGAGAGATAAAACTAAAAGCGTCCAACAAACCAAACCGACGACAACAAAAGCGCGCTACGTGCTTGTGTGTGTGCGGGTGTGTGTGTGTCTGTTTGTGTGTGTTTGTGTTTGTGTTTGT